CACGTAAATATATAAATAATAAATAAATAAATAAAATTAAAATAAAATTACACACAGAGGGAAAAAAATGTAGTTTCATTTGCAGAACTTTTCTCTTAAGGCTTTTTTTTCAATTTTACAGAAAAGGGGGGAGAGAAACATAATATTTCATATATATACATATACACACACATATATATATACATATACATACATTTAAATATATACATATAAATACACACATATGTACGCCCACCCACACAAATACATATACACATACATACACATATACCTACACACATTTAATAGAACGTTTAAACAGATCTCAACCAATTTCATTTTTTTTTTCTTTTACATAAGTCAGAATTGTAAATTGTAAAGGAAAAAACAACACCCATTTTATCGTTATTTACTGCTTGTACGTTTATCTCAGCAGTAAAACTCATTTTTTCATTCTGATGAAACTACTGTTTTATTAGAAATGTTAACAACTTTGTATTTTTAAATAAACATTTAAACTACACTACACATTGACAAATCAATCTATTTCTTAATAATTAAAAATAAACTTGCCTCATAGCTTCTACGTTACAAGAATAAGTATACAAATTATAAAAGATGTATAAAATATTGCATAATTAATTCAACGTATAACAAGGGATAATTATTAATACATTATAAAGTGTAGAACCTTTTACAGCAAAATTTATTTATTTACCATCCCTTTGTTTCCAGTTACAGTAAAATGAAAGAAGTATCAACTGAATCAATGTAAATTACAGAGGGCTAACTTCACAACTGAGTTATTCTAATAACTGAAATATTTTACACTTAACAACATACATTTTTTAGGTTTAAATAAATATTATATATTTGTGAGGTCTCACCACAAAATGAGTCTCATAGTTAGAAATTCAAAAATTGAGTTTATATTATATTTGGGTAGATCACATTCTTTCATTTGGTCTTTGAATGGCTTCCCTACTATAAGTAAATCCAGAGATGTGAGCATTTAAAGTTTAGGTGTATAAGAAACATGTTTTGAGAAAATTGGCCTCAAAGATAAACTAACCTGTACAAATAATATGACTAGAATTACAGAATATGTAACGTCTAGCGGTCGAGGAGTCTGCATTTTGACCCAAAAAAAATCACTTTAGAAATTACAAAGTTATATAATGATACTGATGGAAGAATTTTAATTTTAGATGTAAAACTAAAAGACCAAAATTTTACTCTTATCAACGTGTATGGCCCAAACAAAGATGATCCCGAATTTTTTTAAAGTATATCAACAAAATTAAAGGATTTCAGTTGAGAATCCATCATTTTTGGAGGGGATTTTAATCTTGTTTTAGACACTTGCATAGATAAAATGGGGAGAAGAGCACAAACTAACTTTCACTCACAAACAACTCTAAAATCAGTTATGGAAGCTTATGATCTTATAGATATATGGAGAATGAAAAACCTAAATACACGTAGATATAAATGGCGGTCATCAAAACCACTAATTCAATGTCGTCTCGACTTTTTTTCTCGTCTCGCATAACCTCTTTGCCCAAATCAACACAAGTGATATTAAGAGTGGTTTTAAAACTGATCATTCAATTATCTCCATAGAAATAACCCCAGCCAACGGGGCTAGAGGAAGAGGGTTTTGGAAGTTCAACACCTCCCTTCTACTAGATTTAAAATATATAGACAAAGTAAAAACCTGTATTAGAGAAACAAAGCTAAACAATCCAGACTTAAATCCGAGTCGTTTTTGGGACTATCTAAAATTTAAGATTAGATCGCTAACAATACAATATTCTTCTGAGGTTGCAAAAGAACGTAAAAACCAGTTAAATAATTTACAAGATGTCTTAAATAGCCTTGAGGAACTATATGGTACCTCTCCATCATATCAACTTTTAAAAAATATTGAAGAATGCAAGTCTGAAATTGAAACCATATATGAAATAAAAACCAAAGGCGCAATGATAAGATCCCGTGCACAGCATATAGAAGAGGGTGAAAAAAATACGCGTTTCTTTTTAAATTTGGAAAAAAGAAATCAATGCAAAAAAAGTTGTCACAAAACTTATTAGGGATGATAAAACAATTGTTACTGATCAAAAGATATATTAGAAGAGGGGAAAAAATTCTTTGAGCATTTGTATAAATCAGAAAATCCACGAGCATGTATATTTGAGAATTTCCTTAATGATGACAACTGTCAAAAATTAAATGAAAACCAACAAAAATCATGTGAAGGACTATTCACAATAAATGAATGTCTCAAAGTGTTAAAATCAATGCAAAATAACAAATCCCCGGGCTCAGATGGTTTTCCAACTGAATGGTATAAATTTTTCTTCTGTGCAATTTCTCGTTTCAAAATGGTATCATGTCTTCTGATCAACGTAGAGGTATTATAAATCTTATACCAAAAAAAGAGAAAGACTACATATCTAAAAAACTGGCGGCCGATAACCTTACTCAACACGGATTACAAGATAATTGCTAAGATGATCGCTAATTGTCTTAAAGAAGTGCTCCCTCACATTATCCATCATTCGCAAACAGGCTTCTTAAGAGACCGATTCATAGGTGAAAATATCAGACTTACCCTTGACACTATTGAACATATAAACAAGAACAACATGGAAGGTATGATTCTCATGGCTGACTTTGAAAAAGCCTTCGATAAACTAGAATGTCCATTCATATTAAAAGTATTGGAGTTTTTTAATTTTGGGAAAGATTTTATTGATTTTGTTAAGGTATTATATTCAGATATCTCTTCATGTGTAATCAACAACGGGCATTTTCCTCATTTTTTTTTTCAGTAAGCCGGGGTCTTAGACAGGGCTGTCCCCTTAGTCCATACCTTTTCATACTATGTAGTGAAATTTTATATTCAAAGATAAGAAATATAGTAACGACATTGAAGGTATCAAAATTGAAAACATGGAGGTAAAAATAAGTGCTTATGCGGACGACACCACTCTGTTTTTAAAAAATATCAACTCGGTTCAAAACACACTAAATATCCTGAAAGAATTTAAACATTACTCTGGCTTAAGTATTAATCTTGAAAAGTCAGTTGTACTTCCTTTAGTAGTGTATAGAAAAAAACCTCCAAATTTAACTGGGACAGGTTTACGATGTACAGATGGCCCAGTTAGTATGTTAGGCATCACTTTCACCACTACACTTGACAATCTTTTTGAACTAAATTTTATCCCGAAGATTGAAAAACTTAAAGGAATTCTTCGAATCTGGTCCATGCATGATTTGACACCTTTCGGAAAAATTACCATTGTTAAGTCTCTGGGTATGTCACAATTTGCTTTTTTGTTTTCAGTTTTGCCAAATCCCCCTGCTGACTTTATTGGGAATCTAGAATCCACAATTTATAAATTTGTATGGTCTGAAAAACCAGATAAAATTAGTAGAAAAACAATAATTGGAGATTATATTGATGGAGGG